TTGAGTTTTCATGGTATGTTCTTTTCTATTCTTTACTGTCAGCCTTACTGTGCTCTTACATTTAAAGTGTGTCTCTTATAAACTGAAAGCAGTAGTTGTTTGCGAAATCTAGCATGACATTTAAAATTTCTTATTTAGATTAGTTAGTCCATTTATGTTTACTGGTATAATTGGACTTAAGCCTGCAGTCTTGCTATTTCTTTTCTTTATGTACCATGTCTTCTTCTTTTATTCCTCATTTCACAACTCCTTTTGGATTTTTAAAAAATTATACTCTTTTGCCTCTATTAGTTTTTAGTTATATATTCTTTCAGAAAATTTTTAGTCTTTCAGAGGTTAAACTATGTGTAACAGTATGTAAGTGTGGACACCAGCAGTGTGAAGATGTTCAAAGTCATGGGAACTATATGAGATCTTCTTGCTTGTGAGTATAAATAAAGGAGAGAGATGGTCTTATGGCTGAATCCTGGGGCCCCACAAGGTTTAGGGGTTTAGAAGTGATGAAGATGAGGGGGACTGAGTGGTGAGGACAGTTGGAAGAATCTGTGAGGATGGACTAAAGTTGAGAGAATATGATATTCTGGAGGCCAAGAGAAGAATGTATTTCAAGGAGAAGTAAATGGACCTCAGGTCTGAAGATGGAAACATAAAGTTGGCATTTTAACCTTGACTTCTCAGGAAAGGAATACAAGAACAACTAACAGATGCAAATCAAACCCCACTTTTGAAAGAACGAGAAGAAAGTTAAATGACACAACAAGGGGAAGGGTTGCCAAAGCAGTGAAATACCAGCTGGAGGTGTGTGCCAAGCTGCAGATTTCAGAGCTGCTACTTCCGAAAGTGGAACCTCACATTGTCAAACCTGATCTCTTAGAACAGCAGGAAAGACTTTCATGGTGGTGGTAGATCTCTGTACTGACTTGCTTTCTGAGGAGCAGAAGGATGGGGTAGAAGGAGGACTCGCAGGCACAGACTGTGTTGGAAAGCTGCAGTCAGTCCATCTGTGAAGTAGTAGAAAATGAAAAAGACTTTATACTTGAAAAAACTAAAAAGACTTCTCTCAGCTGAAGAATAGTTAAGATTGAGGATAGGATGCAGTGCCCTTGTTAAGAAATATTCTTGCCAGTTTGGAATACGGTTCTCTGTTCACCCCATGGGAAAGCCTGGATCAGGAAAAACTCACCTCCTTTAGTGCTCAGGAATTAAAATAATAATAATAATAACAGCTGTCACAAGATATATTTGAAGTTATTATAGGAAACAGGAGAAGACAGGATAAGCAAGTGGTAATTCACCTGAAAAATGTCATGTAATGCCTAAATATTGTCACTAGTTTTTAAATTAACTAGTTTATAAATTAACAATGAAATAATGGCTTTGGGTATGCAAGAACATAAAATAGGCAAATAAGACATTCTTAAAGGGATAAAACGTTCTAAAAGAGATAAGACCGCAAGAAGTTGTATTATGAGCCATGTTACATCACAGGAAATAACTGGAAAAAAAAGAAAATCACTGCAGTAATCAAAACACAATTTGAAAAAACAGAGGTAGAAAAGATAATGTTGAAAGTACAGTAGGAAATATGGAGGTTATAAACGAGAAACCGAAACAACAAAGGGTATGGAAACAGTACATAACAGCAAGTAATGGCTTCTTGTTTTCATTACATATGTTTTATAATTTTTATCCCAAATTTCCTTTACTAAGACAAGCTCATTGAATACTTTAGCTCACTTCTCCTTCCATGTCTGTCCATCAAGAAGTTAATTCCTGGTCATATAATTAGGCACTAGTATTTTACGAGACTTCTCTAACCCCCAGGATTTTGCTCTTCCAAAGAGAAAGATCTTGGTTTCACTCTTTAATAATCCAGAATTACACATTATTAACGGTTTTGCTTGATCATGCGCCACATAGAGCCAGATTTTCATAATAATTCAGAAGGTCATCACCACAAACTCTTTGTAAACATACATGCCAGTTCATCAAGCATTAGATTCTGAGTTGTCAGGTATACATTGACATAGAGACTGAAAAATCATGTCTTGTTATCATTCTTGTTTCATCTTCCTCATACACACACATCAAGTGTTAGGAGGAGCAGGACACTTTTGATGGGGTTTATATATATTTCTTAATAACATTTAAATATGTATTTTCATAACAAAACTAACAATATCATGAATATTAAATTTATTCTATACATGCTTTTTAAAAATCTTTCATTAGCATTTTACCATTTTTGCTGGTTTTTACAGAAATGTATTTTTTTAAAGTACAGACATTAAACCACTAAATCTTTCGGTATGATGCCTAAAAACTTGTATTTGGTAAGGCTCTCCCGTTAATTCTGATAAAAACCATTTGTTAAACACGATTGACTTAATATCTATTCAGAGTGTTGGAAGAAAATCATAGGTGGAGTTATGGTTGCCAGAAACATAGTTGAGTAAAAATCAGAGCTGCATTGAATATTTAAAAATTCAGTGATGGGGCACCTGGGTGGCTCAGTGGATTAAGGCCTCTGCCTTCGGCTCAGGTCATGGTCCCAGGGTCCTGGGATCGAGCCCCACATCGGGCTCTCTGCTCTGCAGGGAGCCTGCTTCCTCCTCTCTCTCTCTGCCTGCCTCTCTGCCTACTTGTGATCTCTGTCTGTCAAATAAATAAATAAAATCTTTAAAAAAAGTAAATAAAAATTCAGTGTTTAACAAAGACATTGTTATAGCAGCGTAGCTCATGTTCATGTTAAAGTAAATTATACAAACAGACTTTTTAACTTTTTATTTTAATCACCTGGTGCTGGGTGCCTGGGTGGCTCAGTGGATTGGGCCTCTGCCTTCAGCTCAGGTCATGAACTTAGGGTCCTGGGATCAAGCCCCGAATCAGGCTCTCTGCTCAGCAGGAAGCCTGCTTCCCCCTCTCTCTGCCTGCCTCTCTGCCTACTTGTGATCTCTCTCTCTGTGTCAAATAAATAAATAATAAAAAAAATCTTAAAAAAAAATCACCTGGTGCTTATCACAAGTGTGCTACTTAATCCCCATTATCTATTTCATCCATCCCCCCCAGTTTCCCTCTAGTAACCATCTTGTTTGTTCTCTATAGTCTGTTTCTTGATTTCTCTCTCTCTCTCTCTCTTTTTTTTTTTTTTTTGCCTTTGCTTATTTGTTTTGCTTTTTGAATTCCACATGTGAGTGAAATCATAGGATATTTGTCTTTGGCTGGCTGGCTTAATTCACTTAGCATTATATTCTCTGGCTCCATCCGTGTCATTGCAAATGGCAAGATTTCATTTTTATGGCTGAGTAATACTGCATTGTGTATGTGTGTATACACCACATATTTATCCATTTGTCAATTGATGGACACTTGGGCTGCCATCATAATTTGACTAGTGTAAATGGTGTTCTTATAAACATAAGAGTACATGTATCTCTTGAATTAGTGTGCTTGTATTCGTAGGGTAAATACTCAGTGGTGCAATTGTGGGGTCATAGGGTAGTTCTATTTTTAACTTTTTGAGGACCCTCCATATTGTTTTCCACAGTGGCTACACTAGTTCGCATCCCCACCAACAATACATGAGGGTTCCTTTTTCTCCACATCCTTGCAACATCTGTTGTTTCCTGTGTTTTTTATATTAGCCAATCAGACTGTTGTGAGGTGATCTCTCATTGTGGTTTTGATTTGCAGTTCCCTGATGATGTGATGAGTATCTTTTCATGTGTCTGTTGACCATTTATCTATGTGTTTTCTTTGGAGAAATGTTTGTCCATGTTACAGGTCGGTCTTTCTTTCTTTCTTTCTTTCATTCTTAGCAAATGAAGCTGAAAGTGTTGGGTAGATTTGGGAAGGAACTTTTTAAAAACATTGGACTGTAAGCTCTAACAGAATGAAACAACTTGAGTATAAGATTATGGAAGAGAATGAACAAATTATGGGGACAAACAGCTGGGCTTATAAGAATAAAAAACATTCATTCTAGATTTGTAAATTCATGGCTTGGTTCTAATCTGAATACAGGTTAATATGTTTGCTTCAGTGTGATACCTTTAAAAAAATATTGTCAGTTCTTAGGTTATTGGACTCAGTAGTATTAGTATTGACATTCTATAGAATTGTATGATACATCATTACAAATATAGTATTATAGGTAACAGAGGAGTAAAGACAGGTATACATAACCAAAAAATATTAATGTACAGGTAAATGAAAGTTTCAGGATCAGGTTTAGAATTGTAGGCTTTCATGTTATGCAGAGATATAAAAGCATAACATACATACATACATACATACATACATACATATACATGGAGGATTGAAGGCTAATGTTAAATCAAATGAGATTTGGGGGCACCTGGGTGGCTCAGTGGGTTAAAGCCTCTGCCTTTGGCTCAGGTCATGATCCTAGGGTCCTGGGATCAAGCCCTGCATCGGGCTCTTTGCTCGGCAGGGAGCCTGCTTCCCCCTCTCTCTCTGCCTGCCTCTCTGCCTACTCGTGTTTGTCAAATAAATAAATAAAATCTTAAAAAAAGAAAAATCAAATGAGATTTGGTTGGGGGAAAGCCAGAAGACACTGGAAGAGGGTCTGATGGTCAGAAGTCCACTCTTGAACAACTCTGATGGAATAATGGGAAAAATACCATAATCAAAAGAGCTGTAAATCTGATCCTATGGCAAGGATGGCTTGACCACTCATTATTTTTGCTGTGTTGTGTGTTTTTATTCCTAGTGCATCAGAGCTAGAAACAGAATTAAAGATATTAGAGATTGGGTTATAGTACTGTTCCCTTTTGAATTAGAGTTCTTAGAAGTTTGATTTGTTGCTAGTGTGCAGAATGGAAAAGAGAGATGAGACTGGAAGTATGTATACTGTTGTCATAATCAAGAAATGAGGCAATAATGAACTAAGCTTGTCTACTCCCCAAAACCTAACTAATTCTGTTTCTCCTACATATCCTTGTCAACTAATCTTCCTTGTCACTCTATTTATATTTCAGAATTAATTAATAACAGTAGAAACTATTCAAGAAAGAAGTTCAGTGGGTTTAACAGAGGTAGAAATTGGCTCCATAATAATAAGTATGAAAGAATTCATTCTGAAGAGATACCTTACGAATATAATAAGAATGGGAATGGCCTCCATCTTAACGAAGACTTTGTTCACTATCAGAAAATTCAAATTTTGGAGCAGCCTTTTGAATATAGTGAATGTAGGAAAGCTTTCCATGAGAATGCACTCTTTGTTGTACAAAAGAAAGCTTACACAGGAAAGAATACCTGTGAGTACACTGAATATGGGAAGATCTTTGGTGATATGTCATCTCTCATTGCTCATCAGAGAACACATCCAAGAGAGAATCATTGTGAATTCAATAAATGTGGAGAAAATTTCTTTGAGGAATCCATTCTCTATGACCATCAGAGTGTTCAGCCTTTCAGCCAGAAGTCAAACCTCATTCCAATTCAGAGAACCCACTCAATTGACAATATACTTGAATATAATGAATGTGGAACGTTTTTCAGTGAAAAGTTAGTTTTTGGTGTACAGCAGAGAACACATACAGGAGAAAAACTTTATGAATGTCATGAATGTGGAAAAACCTTCAACCAAAAGTCAGCCCACACAAGGCATCAGAGAACACACACAGGGGAAAAATCTTGTGAATGTCCTGAATGTGGGAAAACTTTCTACAAGAATTCAGACCTCATTAAACACCAGAGAATTCACACAGGGGAGAAACCTTTTGAATGTCAGGAATGTGGGAAATCCTTCAGTGAAAAGTCTACTCTTACTCAACATCGGAGAACACACACAGGGGAGAAACCATATGAATGTCGTGAATGTGGGAAAGCCTTCTCATTTAAGTCTGTCCTTACTGTACATCAAAAAACACACACAGGGGAGAAGCCCTATGAGTGTTATGAATGTAGGAAGGCCTTTCTCAGAAAATCAGACCTCATTAAACATCAAAGAACTCACACAGGGGAAAAACCTTACGAATGTAATGAATGTGGAAAATCCTTCTCTGAGAAGTCAACTCTTACCAAGCATCTGAGAACTCACACAGGTGAGAAACCTTATGAATGTATTGAATGTGGAAAATTTTTTTGCTACTACTCGGGTTTCACAGAACATCAGAGAAGACACACAGGGGAGAAACCTTTTGGGTGTACTGAATGTGGGAAAAATTTCCGTCAGAAGTCAGCCCTAATTGTTCATCAGAGGACTCACATAAGACAGAAACCTTATGAATGTAATGAATGTGGAAAATCATTCTGTGTAAAGTCAAAACTCATTGCACATCATAGAACACACACAGGGGAAAAACCCTATCAATGTAATGTTTGTAGAAAATCATTCTATGTGAAGTCTAAACTTACTGTACATCAACGAACACATTTGGGGAGGAACCCTATAAATGTAATAAATGAGGGAAGTTACTCTGGGTGAAGTTAAGAGTTTATAGAAAAAGAACACAAAAGGGGAGAAAAATCCATTGATATAATCATTTTTGAGAACATCTTTGGTCTAAAGTCAGTTCTCACAATATAGCAGAGAACTTACAGAGGGGAGGGAATGAATGATATGAAGCTATAGAATATAGAAAACTTTTGTGTTGGAATTTGAACCGTACATTATATCAGAAAACTCAGTGGAGAAGACCTATTGGTGAATCAATATAGGGAACCTTTTGCCCAAAGCCACCTCACTGAACATCAAAGAAAACACATAAGTTAGAAACCTCTATCAGCATTCATAAGGTAGAGAAGATTTTACTCCACAGGCTTTAGAAAATGCACAAATTGTAGGACACTATAGGGAAGCATTTTCTATGAGGTGATATTTTGTTAGACTTGTGTGACATTCTTGATGTAGCATCTGGTGGATGTTGGAAGTTACTAGAGAAAACGTATTAACTATGTGAAAGTTTTAAGTTAAAATCTACGCTTATACATCAGATTTTGAATTGAAGGGTTTCTAGCAATTTAGGAAATGTGGAAAACATTTTCATTTAGAAATAGCATTTTATTTTTGTTAAGATACACTTTGGCCCATTGCCAGGTCTGTTCCCCTGTTTAAGGTATTAGATGTGACACTGGGTGTGGTGCATAAACAATGAATTCTGGTACACTGAAAAGAAATTAAAAAAAAAAAACAAAAAACAAAAGGTATTAGATGTGAAAACACACCACACTGGGACCAGCAGTTGTAAGCACATCAGAGGTTTACTGCTCAGGCATATGCAGGATGAGAGAAGATTTTTAGCAAGAGGATTCATCAAAAGGACCTTCTGATGTGCAGGTAAAAGAGAGAGAGATTCTGGATCTCGTGATACACGTAGGAGGAGCTTGCTAGCAGGATGTTTTAGTAATTCTGGGGCAGACTGATTTTGAGTGGCTCATTCTGGAAGAGTGAATCAAAGGGGAAAGGTGAGTTGCTGTGCAGGCAGCTTAGTGACTGTAGAAGTGCGTGTGGAGCATAGGTGGTTTCTGCCCTGGCAGGTGTCATCCTGTTGTGAGTGACTTATGGTACCCAACTGGATTTCTTCCTGTACTTAACACTTTTCATATGTGATGTAACAGTTTCAACAAAGCGAAACATTTATATGTGAAAGTACATTCTTAAATATAGAGCTTTAAGAAAGCACAAGTAGATAATATTCCTGGGTAGGTTATAGGAGCTTGTAGCAGATCAGTGTACTAACTGAGAACAACTAGAAAAATTTCACAAAAAGCATCTATTTGAATGCAGCCTATTGCTGCAGAAGCAAAGAGGACTAGCAGTAAAATTCAGGAGAGGAGTGAATCGCAGAGAGCACATGGGCAAATGCAGCTGTTTCACCTGGGAGCATTTGCCAATTCTGGCCACACGGAGGAACCTGAGTACTGAGCGTGGCTCAGGTAAAGGCTGAAACTGTAGGAGGACGAAGACCAGAAGCCCGCGGTACTTTGGGCAGTCAAGGCTGGAGTGAAAAATTCTTAAACATTAGAGATCAGACACATAACCAGTTTTCCAAGAAATTTTTAGAAGACTGACTCAGCACAGGGCAGGAGCCTGAAAAGTGAAGCTGAAAGTACATTTTTTTTTTTTCAGTACTGAGAAAATATGATTAGAATTTGGGAATTGCCTGTAGGATGGGCCCTTACTGAGCATAGCATGTGATCAGTAAAAGCAAGGTTATACCAAAGGTAGATTGTACCTTATTGCAACTGCAAATGATACCTGGTATTTAAAAAAAAAAAGAACAAAACAAAGAAAAAGCAAAACCTGCCCAGAAAGAAAACTCTCAGAACAGATGGCCTCACTGCAGTTATTCCAAATATTTAAGAAGGAGAGAATACCAAGATTTTATGAACTTTTCCAGAGAAAGGAAGATGGAACTTTACTAATTCATTCTGAGAGCTGAGTACAACCTTGATACCAAAACCTGTAATAGACATTTCAGGAAAGTAAATTACCAGTATTTTATGAATTAAAGTGCATAATCCTAAATTTTAAAAAAATCCAGTCATATCCATGGACCTAGTAATGTTTATTAGAGGAGTCAAGGATTTCATATTTAAAACGAAATCAGTTTGGGGGACACCTGGGTGGCTCAGTTGGTTAAGCAGCTGCCTTCGGCTCAGGTCATGATCCCAGCGTCCTGGGATCGAGTCCCACATCGGGCTCCTTGCTCATCAGGGAGCCTGCTTCCCCCTCTGCCTCTGCCTGCCATTCTGTCTGCCTGTGCTTGCTCTCTCTCCCTCTCTCTCTCTGACAAATAAATAAAATCTTTAAAAAAAAAAAAATGAAATCAGTTTGGCCAGTTCTTCCTCTCACATTCTCCTTTCTCCCTTGTGATTTCTATATTTCTTTCCTGCCTTCCTTTCCTAGAATGGAAGTCAGAACAGGCGTGCTGTGGGGGATGAGAAAGGTATTGTGGTGAGGTATCCACTTGCATCAGAGCATTGAGGGCAGCTGGAAAAGATGATCAGCATGGCTGAAATATTTAACATTGAGCAAATAAGAAAATGTGTTGAGGATGATGGGAGACAGATTGGAGAAGGCTTTCATAAAAATGGAGAAGGGGAAAGTTGGAAAACAGCAGAGTGTTGGATTGGAATATAACTCATAGAAATTGTATATGTGTATGTGTGTTTTATGTCTCTGCTGAGAGGGCCTACGCACAGTGACACCCCAGAAGCAGCACATGAAGTGCCAGACTACTCATTTCTAAATGCTGTCCTCCACCCAAAAAGGAGCCAAGTCTCTGGAGTGATGGCTGATTCAAGGTCAGAGATAGGAAGAAATAGATGAACATGCATCATCTTAGCTACCAGACAGAAAATGTTCAAAGAATCTTGGAAACAAAAGAACCATCTTGGACAGATTCCACTGGCCAAATTTGAGACAGTTGGAACATCAAAATAACGATAGAATCAGAACACAAGAGACTTAATAAAATCGGGATCCATTAATTTATAGTGTTGTAAATAAGTGAGTAAATTCATGAAGGAGAAGGGAAAACTTTTCTTTACATAAGAATGCCAGTTAATAGGGGCGCCTGGATGGCTCAGTGGGTTGAAGCCTCTGCCTTCGGCTCAGGTCATGATCTCAGGGTCCTGGGATCGAGCCCCGCATCGGGCTCTCTGCTCGGCGGGGAGCCTGTTTCCTTCTCTCTCTGCCTGCCTCTCTGCCTGCTTGTGATCTCTGTCAAATAAATCAATAAAATCTTAAAAAAAAAAAAAAAAAGAATGCCAGTTAATAGAAAGAGGATAATGGAAAAAGGAAAATCCCATTCGGCAGTCATTGGAGCGGTGGTTGATTTCGGAGGTAGTTGCCAACATAGGACAGGGTTTGTGGGTAGAGGTTAATGAAGAATAGGGTATGGGCATAATGTTCAAATATCTCCCCACAAAATACTAATCAGCTGCAAAGGTGAATGTCGTGATTTTATGATTAAATCCGGCAGACACCAACGTGATTAGGTGATCAAAGTTCACCTCACCAGTGGAGTAGGACAGGTCAACATGATGTATTCCTTGATGGGATGCACTGAGAAGAGCCAGCATCATCTGTGTGGTATTTCGGCCAAGAAAGTGTGACCTGTGTTTGCTCAGGAGGAGATATCAGGTGAACCCATTTGAAAGGTTATTTTACTGAATGAAATCTTTTAGTCTTTAAAAATGTGAGTGACATGAAAACCATCCAGATGGAGGAGACTGAGCTATTTATTTATTCATTTTAGAGAGTGAGTGAGCAGGTAAGTAAGGGAAGGGGCAGAGGGGGAAAATCTTCAAGCAGACTTCCTGCTGAGTGGAGAGCCCCAAGCGGAGTTTGATCTCACGACCCTGAGATCATGACCTGAGCCAAAACCAAGAGTCAGACTCAACCGTCAGAGCCACCCAGGCACTCCAAGACTGTAGATATTTTAAAATAACAAAAAGGAAGACTAGACATTGTTAGAACAGTTGGCAAAATTCAGTGTATGGCTTGAATGGTGGTGTTTATCAGTGTGAATCTCCTGACTTGGATGATTGTTGGGTGGTTCTGTAGGTTATTGCCTTTGTGGAAGATACACACTGGAGTGGGTAGTGGTAATGGAGCCTTGTGTCTGCAGTTTATTTTCAGATGCTCTAGAGAAAGACTAATTCATGTGTGTGAGTGCAAGTGTGTAAGGGACAGAGGGAGGAGGTGCAGTGCAGTTAGGGGAATCTGAGTGAAGGGGATATGAGATTTTTTTTGGTATTGTGCTCGTGAGTTTTGTAAGTGTGAAACTATTTCAGAAAAATAAAAGTTTAAGTTACATCAGTAGAAAAATAAGTGAAGCCACTTATTTCAACAGATGCAGAAAATATATTTGATAAAACTTTATACCCATTTGTGGTTAAAAAACAACAAAACTAGGAATGCTCATCAAAAACAAGGAAACCAGGGTGCTTGGGTGGCTCAGGTGGTTAACTATCTGCCTTCCACTCAGGTCATGATCTCCAGGTCCTGGGATCGAGCCCCATATCTGCCTCCCAGCTCAGCGGGGAGTCTGTTTTTCCCTCTGCCTCTCTCCATTCTTGTGCACTCTCTCCCTTTCAAATGAATAAATAAAATCTTCAAAACAAAACAAGGAAACCGATACACAGCAAACATCATACTAAGTAGGTAAATATTGAGGTATCTCTTTCTGATATTAATCAGACAGGAATGCTTGTTACCACTTCTGTTTAACATAGGACTGAATTCTCTAGCTCATCAATAAAACAAAAAGGAAGAAGAAATTTAAGGAATAAAACTGGGAAACTTGAAACTTAACTCATTGGTAAGTGGTATCGTTGCATAGAAATGTGCAAAACAATCTATGGAGATATTATCAGAAGTAAGTGAATTAACAATCTCACTATAGAAAAATTGTTTCTATATATAAACTACCAATAGAAAGTAAATTGATACCAGGAGAGCTGTATCCACCCAGGATAGGGGAGCAGAGACCAGATTTACCTGCCTGCCTAAAAACACAGGGAAAAGGGAAACAGATAAAATCTAGGAAATAATTGTTTTCATGTTGGTGGACAGGAGGCAGTAAAGGGCAGGGATCCCTGCCAGTGATGGGTTCGCTGCATTGTGGTGATGCTTGTACAGGAGTATTTATCAAATTAAATCAAGATGTAAACTTTACTACTGTTACATTGCTGTTAGGTTTACAATAGTCCTAAAACAGTAAGTTCTAGAAATCCAAAAACTGCATCACCAAATTAAGGGATGTTTAAGACCAAAATAAATGGAAGGATATATTTACTGTGTTGATGACTGTAAGTGCAACCCTAATCACCATCTAGCAGCTAATTAGAAATTAGCAAATCTGAATTTAAAATGTATATGCAGGGGCCCCTGGGTGGCTCAGTAGGTTAAAGCCTCTGCCTTTGGCTCAGGTCATGATCTCAGGGTCCTGGGATCGAGCCCCGCATCGGGCTCTCTGCTCAGCAGGGAGCCTGCTTCCCCCTCTCTCTATGCCTGCCTTTCTGCCTACTTGTGATCTCTGTCTGTGAAATAAATAAAATCTTAAAAAAAATAAAAAAATTAAAAAAAATAAAATATATATGCTGACACACTGACTAACCATAGCTAAGACAACCTGAAAATAGAAAAATAGATCTACAGGACTTAGATTGCTGGATATCAAGACTGTGGTACAGGCACAAGCATAAACAGTGTCCAGAAACAGGCCCCAATATATTGATGTATGACAAAGATGACTCTGTAATATTGTGGTTAAAAGATAGTATTTTTGATAAATGCTGCTGGGTTAATTGGCTCTCTGTATGCGTAAGAAAAACAGTTTGACTATAGCCACCCACCCTACACAGAAATTCGTTTCATATGGATTGTACATCTAAATGTGAAAGGTAATACAGTTACACTTTTAGAAGAAATATAGGTGAGCATCATGACTTTGGCTTAGACACCTTAAACAAGAAAAAAAAAACAACAGATAAATTCAACTACATTAGAATTAAGAACTGCTATTTGTTCAGAAACAAAAACCAAAAGAAGCAGAGGAGTTAAAAGCCAGCCACAGACTGGGAGAAGATAATCACAATGCATATCTCAAACCAAGGACTCTTCTACAGAATATAGAAGGAACTCCAACAAATCAACAAGAAAAAGAAAAATAGCAGATTGAACATAATTTCAGAGTATATTTAAATGACCAGTAAATGTGGAAAACCACCCAGTTTCATTAGTCATCAAGGAAAAGCAAATTCTAACAAAAACGTAAGACCATTGCACATGAGAATGACTACAGTGATGAAACCAACTGATGATGAAGATCTGAAGCAACTGGTACTAATACGAGTCCGGTGGGAATGTAGGTTGTGCACTTTGGGAAATGGGCTCTTTCTACTAAAGCTGAACATACATGTAAATTTTGCCTGCATGATTATACTTCTACGTGTATCTCAAACAGAAATACATGTTTCTTGAAAGAACAGTCATGGTGGTAGTATTCTTAATAGCCCAGAAGAAGTAGAAACAGCACGAATGGCCACCAATGCTAAAATGCATGCATAAATTGTGCTCTTCATTCAGTGCCATATTCTACAGCAGTAGGAACGATTGAACCACAATTACATGCCCAGAAGACTAAGTGCTGTGTTTTTTCCTTCAAAAAGCAGGCGGATGTAATACATGGTGTTAGAAGTTGGGATAGTGGTTGCCTGGATGGTGGCAGGTTGCAGAGACTAACTTAAGGGGGCTCCTCTGGTGCTAATAGTGTTCTTTTTATCTCAATATTGATTGTCGGTGTATTCAATTTACAAAATTCATTGTGAATTTTTATTTATATATATTCATGTTTGAGTATAAATGTTCCTTAATAAAAGCAGGAAGTCTGACATTGTTCGCTCTCTGTTTAGAGTCCTCCAGCAGCTTCCCGTCTCACTTAAAAACACAGCACAAGATGAATAATGAGAACAGCAGCAGTGAGCATGTGTGTGAAGAACCCTGTGTAATAAGTGCTTATATATGTGAATTTACTATGTAAAATATTTTGTTCCTTTCACTATGTGACAAATAACAATGGTGTTCCTTATTAAAAGCTAACCAATTTACCTTAATATATACGTTAAGTGAAATAACATT